GAGCTACAGTTTCTTTAGTCCGATCTGATGTGCTTACACCTGTTCGCATGGATAGTATTTTTAAACCCAAAAGACTACCTAACCTGCTGACAACAAACGGAGATCGGATGTCCACAATCTCTCTAATTAATTTGCTGTTAGTATTCCCTACTAGAACTCACATTTGTTGTTAGCCCAAGCGTTACGTGGGATATTTTACTAGGTGTCAATTTACTTGTCCAGTTTAATTGTCATCTGGATATTCGCGAGCGCGTCCTTCGTTTCGGATCTGAGTCGACACCTCCCTGCCACGCCAATTTGGTGTCCCAGGAAGACGAAATCTGTGCTGCGATTTCCGCTGAGGTCGCACTACCACCCACTAACCTAGACAGCATCTTACCGGAGCATACTGTGCTGGACAAACAAGACCGCACGTGTCTGAAATCCCTGCTGGTGACCTTTGAGGATGTTTTTGCGTGGGACGAACGCTCGTTGGGGCGTTCAACACTCGTAAGACACGCTATCGACACTGGCTCCGCAAAACCCGTGTGGCAGCCCCCACGAATTATCCCGCCTCATTTTCAGACGAAGGTGAACGAAATGATACAGAGGATGCTTGATTCAGGCGTGATACGCCCGTCGCGCTCACCCTGGGCATCTTTAGTGACCTTGGTGCCGAAAAAGGACGGGAAACTGCGCTTTTGTATCGATTATCGCCGTCTTAATGCCGTCACAACTCGAGACTCTTTTCCACTCCCTTGCATTGATGTTACCCTAGATGCACTTGCGATGGCACGGTGGTTCTCCACACTCGATCTCAAGTCAGGCTACTGGCAGGTCGAGTTTGAACCCAAAGACAGATCAAAAACAGCTTTCATCCTTCCTCAAGGTCTTTCTGAATTCGAAACTATGCCCTTCGGCCTTTGTAACGTCGTCGCAACATTCCAATGGCTAATGCAATCGGTATTAGCGCACTTATATCCAAGCCACTGTTTGATTTACCTAGACGACGCCATCGTCTTTGGGAAGTCCATCAGTCAAAATAATGAGAATCTGAGAGCCGTTCTTATTGCACTTCGTGACGCTGGACTCCGTTTAAATCCCCAAAAGTGCATGTTCGTACGTTACAAAGTGACCTACCTCGGACACGTGGTTAGCATGGAGGGCATACACGCTTCTTCGGACATGCATGTCAGACCCCGACTGAGCACAACGACATTTTCTGAGACTATTTTCTGGGACTATTTTGACGTAGATACCACCTCACAGTTACCGTCTCTGAGGTTGCCGCTGGAAGTGTACGTACCAAATTTCTTTCTGCGTCTCTGGATTTTTTTTTCTTGTGTGGAAATTTATCAGAAGTCTGTCTCTAAGCGGAATTTGTTTTCCATCAAAATCCAACGGGCTACGGAGTCGATTCGCGCGCAGATATCGGCCTAGGAAAACAAAATCGTTGACACCCAGGAAGATCGGGAGTTATTCAGGGCCTTCGGTATTCTCAAAACGGCTGAGTCGCTCCTACATATATTTCATACCGTTCATATTTTTTCTCAACATCGACTTTTTAAAAAATAGGCGCATTTTCGACCATTTGATCTCGAATATTTGCCATACTTCATCGTATACAGTCGTAATTACCAGTTTTAATCTCCAAAGCGAATATAACTTACGAAAACACGAAACTCATGGACACAGAGCAACTTTTTAGAATAGAATGGGTTTATTGTAGCGCCCCTTGGGCACTGGTAGTTCCACGACCAGGACCGGCATTATTCACGAAGGAAAGTCTATTGACATGACCTTGCCCCCCAGGATTAGCGCTCGCTCTCTTTACAGTTGCATTCAGGGGCCCGCAAAGCGCGCTAAAAGCGTAACCACAGCAAAATCTGTTAGTAACGAGGACGAGCCGTGCACTGGGTGCTCCTTTATTCTGCTGAACGTCCAAAAACTTAAAAAATAGCTGGCTGCATTAAAAGAACTCGTGCAAGCGAACGATGGTAGGCAAAACTCGGTTAACAGCGCTTAAGTCAGCAAGACAAAGGGGAAGACCAAAATTCCAAAGCAGCCAAAGAACAAGGTTTGTGGAAAACCTCAGTGCAAGGACGCCGATACTAATGACGGTGGGCAAATAGCAACGGAGTCTCCTGTTTCTACGGAAGACAGCCGAAGCGAACCGTCAACTTCTCTCAGCCATTCCGCGTGTTCAGTAGTACCCTCGGTTGGAAGTAAGGAAACAAGCTCGTGGCAAGATGGAAGGGGTAAGCACCACAACCAATCTCGATTGGTTGTCCGCCGCAGCCTAGTCCTGCCTATTCTGGACGATCTGCACCGCGAGCTCGGCCATGTAGGTCATGTGAAAACGGAGGCTGCAGTGAGACAGCGTTTCTGGTGGCCACGCCCTAGAGAACAAGTCTCTATTTTTCGTAACACCTGCCCCACGTGTGCCACCTTTAAAGGACCCAACCCCCGACGCCGGGCGCCCCTCCAACGTATGGCGACAGGGTTCCCATTTGAACGCGTGGGCATCGATGTGATCGGACCCCTATCCATCACCTTGACTGGCAACCGCTACATATTAACGATTATTGACTACTTCACTAAGTGGGCAGAGGCAGTCGCCCTTCCACGACAGGACGCAGCATCAGTCACTACCGCCCTTCTCACCACTTGGAATTGCCGCTTCGGAGCCCCCATCTCCTTACACTCTGATTGTGGAGCGAACATTGAGAGCCGGCTAGTGCGCGATGTCTGCGACCTACTTCAAATACATAAAACACACACTACTCAGGCTCACCCCAAAGGAAACTGCCAGGTGAAACGAACGAACCAGACCATTATTAACCTGTTTAAAGCCTTCACCGAAGAACACAACCCCCACGACTTGAGAAGGTCCAGAGACGGGCGACCAAAATGACACAAGGTCTGAGAGCGCTGTCTTACGAATCTCGACTGTCAACTCTCAACCTGTTTCCACTTTCTTATAGGCAATTACGTGGTGACCTTATACTTGCATTTCGCATTATCAACGGCCTAGACTGTTGTTTAGATCCCACTGATAATTTCACACAAGCTAACACGCCCAATTTGCGCGGTCATCCCCTAAAACTACGCGCCGGGAAAGCAAGGATCAATGGAAGAAAGTCCTTTTTCAGTCACAGAGTGGTTGCAGCGTGGAATGCCCTGCCAACCGATGTTGCAGCCTCCTCCTGTGTGAAGTCCTTTAAGTTTAGACTTGACGCGCATCAAGCCTCCCAGTTACCAGCCTTACATCCACTCACATAACCTGGCACCAACTTAAACTTGTTTATACTACCTGTAACTAGTTAGTAACCGTTATTTATTACTTTTTTCGTACTAGCGGTCAACGATTATGCACAAAACCCCTTTTTCGCCTTCCCACTATCAATGTTTTTCTCCGACGACTTGTAACCAAAGGCGCTCGCCTATATTTCCCTTAATAAACTGAAACTGAGACTGAAACTGGGACGTTCGGCTGCCATACGCCAGGATAACATATATATGCACGGTCCATACCTCGACGGGCTACGCCCCCTACTTCATGCTAACCGGGCGCCACTTCCACTTACCCTCGGACTCTCAGCTTCCCCTACCAATCTGCGACGACTATCAGCCAGATGCTTACGTCCTAGAGCTACAGGAAAACTTGTTGACCACGCAAACCCTAACGCGAACTCACCTAGAGTCAGCTTATACGCGACAGAATGCCTACATTGACCAGCACGTCAGTGGCGCACCATACGCTCCAGGCGACCTGGTACTGCGCTACCGTCCGACTCCATCGGTGGGGACTTCGTCAAAGTTCTTCAATCCGTGGGAGGGTCCCTACGTCGTCATTGAATTCTTTCCTCCTTCGACTTACACCGTCTTTCGACCGCCGACTCCCAACCCATCCTTCCCCCTCACCTGGTCGCTCAACCCTCCGATGAGGTAGAAATGACCAGCAGTCCCTCCCACGCAGCGCCTCAGAGGACAGAGCCACCTCTTGAGAGGGGGACGTGTAGAAGGACGCACTGACCTTGTTGTTTTAATGTGTCCTTGCCATGACTTTCCTTTACCTTTTGACTGATTTGTGTTCCGAACGTGCCTTTTTTAGTGACCGTCGTTGAAGAGTGTGAGGAGACCAGTCGAGGGACCGCCCGTAAAGAAGAAGACGGCGAGAAGACGGAACAGGCCTAATTTCCTCAACTGATATATCCCTTTTAATAAACTTTTTACATCGTCAACCTATTCTATCTGTGTACGCTTGCACTTACAGACGATGAACTCAATTCGCGCTAATTTTCAGGGTTCCCGCCGAGAAGACACTCAACCGAGTAAGAGCACCAAGGAAGCCTATACGGACTGTCGCCTATAAGGAGAAGAAGACAAGACCATTCCCTTGGGTGGCTCGAGTACTTCATCGTAACATCTAAGAGTCCGCATTCAGCGTGCGCTATTTAGAGTTTGAAAAGCCTTTCGAGATAGATGCATCAGTTTCTCGAAGGATAGTAAATGAAAGTCATCGGAAATGTTTAGGTTGAGGCCATTAACACCACGTTACTCTCAATTGTCTTGTTTCCAGGGGAATTAGCAACAATTGCATGCAATTGTGCAGCATTGTTAACTGAGTCGATGGTGACCAGCATTTTACCGAGTTCTTTTAGTTCTTAACAATGCTGAATTTCGGATTCAGCTATTAGACGTTACGTTCACATGCAAGGTCAGCGATGCTGACGCTTTCCTTCTATAGGTGGTCAACTCATGGGATGCCCTCTAATAGCATACGTGTATATGCATATGACCAGAAACGTTTACAAGTCCAGAACCAAATCTTCGGACATATTTATTTTACCCATAAACGGGTTTCTCACCTACTTAAAAATTGGATGTTCACATGTTTTCATCAGTATTTTGCCTTGAAACTGCGAACTTCATTCACTGAATAGAATGCTTTCGATCAAGGCGATTGGTCGTGAAAAACGTAGAGGCCGATTTTAGCCCGCCCTTGCACAACCGTCCCCATGGTTTACTACTTCAAGTGTGAGCTTGTTTCTCCTCCATATCACATTTATATGGGCGCGGATAAGAATGAAAACGACGAGCTTATTCGATGGGGATGGCCGGAGGACGTCTGGTTTCACGTTGACAAGTTGTCTTCTGCCCACGTTTATCTTCGCCTCCGTGAAGGCGAAACACTCGATGATGTTCCGGAGGCAGTCATCCAAGATTGTGCGCAACTGTGCAAGCAGAACAGCATATCGGTAAGTTTTCGTAGGAATATATTTTAAACGCAAACACCACAACTACCTCGTCATTGTCCTTTTCAGTGTTGCTGTTCATGGCACTTCCCTCAAAAAGTATGTGAGGAGAGACATCTTTTTACCAGTACTGCGGTAAGATTTATCATGGACAGCGTGCAGTACGTCAACCTAAGCTGCGGTGGTTTGCAGGGTTCAACGCCAATACTTGTAGAGCAGTGTAACGTCCCACAATGCCTTGCGATTCACTAATATGCCCTCGAAATGAAAGCTGCGTTAGGCCGAACTAGACATTCACTTTCACGTCACCTAAATTTCTAATGCGCGACATTTTTTCTAAAGGCGATTTTTGATACTTGCTCCTGGGAGGTAATGGTTTGTTAAACAAGGTGCCTGATACTAGCCAGGATACCCGCCCATGCTGTTCGGCAGTATTAGCTGATCACGCACAGGGTTCTCTAGACAGTGTTAGAAATAGAGGCCGAATCCATGGACAGGAGTAAAGTCGTTGCATCGATACTCGGGAAGGGCAACCGGCCGTTAGAATTACGCCCCCGCAAGGTCCCTCTGCCGTGCACCAGAAATCCTTGTTCCTTTCACTGTCTCTTGCTTGTACCGTGGCGTACGGACAAGGGAGGGTCAAGTTACCTCAAATCTACTGTTGCAGAACAAAGAATGGGGTCTTTACAAATAGCGAGGAATGGCTTTTTGATGTCGCCTTCGGTGTCTATCAGGACCGTAGTCTACTATCCAGATGTTAGGGTATATCATGGTCTGTGTATACAACAAAGGTCAGACCCCAATTAGTACAATGAAAAGGCAACCTACAGGAAGAACGTCTTCTGCACAGAAGGATTGGAATACTGTTCCAACGAGCACCTCGAGCTGACGTCAGACAACGTAGTCATTTTGCAAGTCCTAACTGTACTTGAGCGAATAGAAAGGCGGTGGTAAGTGAACATGCAGATTTGCTCACTCTGCTCCCATGTGACCCCATGCAATTCGTTGATTGGACTAGTGCGTCCGTGCTGCGCCCGCCCAAGGTGCTGGCCGTATGCGTCTTGTGTGACCTGACCAAAAGTCGCATACTGGGAAATTATTACAAGTGGAATGCCTCAAATTTCACTGGCGACTTCGTAATGCCGACAGGATGTTTTGTAAAATGCACCTTGGAGCGTCCGAGGTAGGTGCGATGTCTGCGGAAGTGAGGATGATAGTAAGCTCGACTACAAAAACGAGGATGTCGTGTTTCTATGTCAGAGATGCCTGCCTGCCGGGGGTGGACGCTGATTTATTTGAGCAAATGGATAGCTTTTAGCACCCTGGCTCAACCTTCCTATCAAACCGGCTACACAAAATTCGAGTCACTCTTCGAATCTATCAGGTGAGCACATCTTTAGTCCGGCTCCATTAAAACCCCTGGAATCTGAGTGAAGCCATTTAGGATACTAAACTGACTGTGCGTTAGAACTATGTAGAAAAAATTCTGTTGTTAAGACGCGTCCCATATGCCTAGAAGATACTAGTGTCATAGATGTATTCGGTCCATGGCGCATACTATCTATTCCCTAGATTTGTGTCTCCGTTTATACTTTCAACGAATGACTGTACCGCTAGCCAAGACGATTTGGCCAAGTGGTGTGCCGATTCAAAGACACAAGGACCTGGAATGCCGTCTCACCCGATTCCAGATCTGACCGGCCATGGCATTTATGTAGGCAACTGAATCTGTGACCTATCTCAGGTTCTACCGTCTTTGGGGATGGCATGCGGACGGACCGTATTTCGCCAAGGAAGGCAGCATGAATGGATGACAGTCATTCGTGATGCGGCTAAATTATAACAATCAGGTGACTGAATTTGTAGTCCCTAAGGTAGCCAAGACTACCAGTGAGAGAGTAGCTATTGTGCGTTTTCGCCCTTTTAATTTTGCGAACGTAGTATGCCTCCAGGCGAGCAAGATTGTGGCCAAAAAATCGCTCTGCCGAAACTCTCAAACAATCTGTACTCGAATCTTGAATTTCACGTCGTTAAGCTGCCAACATAGGTTGATCTGATGCTGTGTGACATGACGCCTGCCTACTCTTATGGCTTGCTGCGATTCTCATCTAGTACGGCTGATAGGGCCCTAGAGCATTGACGCACTCATGTTTCTACCTGGCTGTTATCTCATTGGCCGCTGTCCAGTCATCTGCTCAACATTAGGCAAAAAGTGTAACCTCAATTGAGCAGAACACGACCCGTCGTCTGCATTTTGTGCACAGCAGAACAAGAGCTTGTGGTAGCCTCTGATTCTGGCATCGGAATATGATCTGTTGAGAAATTTTAGGACCCGGACGGCAGCATATAACCAGAATTTGTGTTTGTCATTAAGAGTTTAGGTGGCTGAAGCACTGTATTTTATGTTTCAAGGAAACACGGCATCCTAGCAATCAGGCCTCAGATTGGGTTCCACACCAAGGACCTGTGAGTGTAAATTTAATGGTAGCCAGCCTGAGCTGCCAAGGATTCTTAACAAAAGTCACTTCTCAAGTTGTGACCTCCTAATCTAAGCTAAAAGTATTGTACAGATTGGAAATTACTCGTCTCGAGCTGCAATGTGAAAGTACGTTTTTAATCAGCGACGAACACTTAAATGAGTTTGAGGCACTAACATCGAATTTGCGCGGTCGCGGGCGGCATTTCGATTGTTTCTGTCTGCACTCGGTACAAAGCGCTACTTGAACAGTTTGTACTTTTTCTCCTCATTTTTGATACCTTTATGAACTGTGTTTTAGTTCCCTGGAAGCTGTCATCTCCCATGTGGAGAACAACCTCCAGGAAAGGGAATAATTCGATTTCTTAGCGACTGAAAGTTTTAGACGCTCGCGCGACCTAAGATCCACAACATTATCAACATTTGTGGCAGTAGGTATGATCACAAAGAGTCCTCTTCATAAGCAGATATATGCATTCGTGTGAAAGGAAATGCCTGACGTACAGATGGAACGCCTTAAGGCCAAGCGGAAACGTGGGTTGTGTCTGCCAATATGCAGAACTTGAATTTTTTTTAAATCCAACGACCAAATTTGAAAAGTGTAAGCGTCCTACAAAATGGCCATAAAATGTAATTCCTATGAACAAATGGTGGAAGACGAAGAAACATTGGACAGCAGGCACTGTACTGTGCCATACTCAAGTGGTGTTTATTTTACCAGACAGTGATTACTGCACGCGGTTACAAATATTCTCAGTCGAAATCCCACATACGTCATGCGTGGATTCATGTGGAATTGTGTTGGATGCCCATAAACTTTGCCTCACTCGCGTGTGATTGGTACGGATGTAATTTTTCTGGATGTAACCGGCCTCGTTCACGAGGTTTCTCCAGTATTCTGTTCGAAGATGCGCTTAGGTATTTCCGTTCATGTCAGTTCAAAGGTTTTCAGCGCCCACTTTACTTGGCTTCTGAATTTTTCTAATAAGTGACTACCTTTGCAGCCCTAAAACAACCTAACCTCCTGCTCGGTGTTTAATCCTTCAGTTGCGACACAGTTTGATTTTAGGGAATCTTTCCAACGCCAGCTGACTCGTCTTATTAAGCGCTCTTCTCGCTGTGACTGTAGGGTTGCAAGCAGAACGACGTGACGATTGTGTACACTATGTGGGAGAACCTGCGTAAGACCGCCAACATGGAGGTGGGACAGGTGGGTTTTCACGACGGGAAGCAGGTGCGCAAGGTGGTGGTGGAGAAGCGCATCAGTGAGATCATCCGGCGGCTGGAGAAGACCCAGCAGGTGGTGGAAAATCCGGATCTACGGGCTGAGCGGGAGGCCCGAGACGAACGTGTGCGCCAGAAGGCCAAAGCTGCTCAGCGTGCTCGTGAGCAAGCTGAGCGCCAGGCCGAGAAGATTCGTCAGAGCGAGCTGGAGCGTCGCTCCTATGACCGCCTCTTTACTCCCGAGAAAATGCGCTCCAATGAGGACGGCTACGATTCGGATGACTTTATGTGATTACTCAACCCTGTCCTTGCACAGCATATGAGCCGCAGTATGTGATCTACCCCTCCCTCCTCCATTTTGTACAGTCTCGCTGAAGAAAATGATATATGAAGTCTTTGGGAGTGTGCTATTACTGCCCAGATTTCTGAACTTTGCCCCTGACCCTACGGCTCGTTAACAAAATACATCGATTCCTTTGCTGGCATTGACTCTTGAGGTCCTTTCTCACCGAAAATATTGTCTGAAATGGTTTTCGTACTATTATTTTAATGGGGTGAACGGTGAGGGAGTCTATTGACGCGCGTTTCAAAAGTCTCCGATGCCACTACGTATCTAGACAAGGGGTCCTTTGACTTTGCCGTCCACTGCGCATCCGCACGACTAGAGTCATCAATTCCTTTCTCTAAGGTTACTGGTTGCTGTGCGACTGCTTACGAGGGCTTCAGCTTGGGCCCAAAAGGCATCGGGATGAGCTGGTTCCATAACCTGCTTGGTGAATTTCATCCCCATGCTAGTAGATTTTCCCGATCACAACAGACAGGACGACGGACCCGTGGTCCAATAGCATAGGCTCAGACTTAACGCTCGGCGACCAACGTCTAGGGTTCGAATCCCAGGCACCTAGACCTGACGACGACAAGCAGGCCAGAACTGGCCATCCCGGTATCTCTCGTCTTTGTCGGTATTTTTTTATGTGGCGTTGGTAACGCCGTGTGTCTACGAAGACCCTAGATTGAACCCCAAAGCGTGACGGGACCAGCAGGCCTCGCAGTCTAGTCATTGATCGACATTTCCGTGATAGAGCTATTTCAGATTAAAGCCAAGCGGGTAGTTTCGAATGCACAGGAGTCTTAACCGCGGTAAACTAACACAACAATCAAAAAACAGCTCCGGGGGATGGAGTGGAAGAGCCAATCTCCACCTTAAGCACGAGTATTTGTGGGATTGTCACAGCCAACCGGAGGTATTTTGCGTTATTCCTTCTACTGTCTCCCCTACTTCCGTATTTTGGCATTTTCTGGATCCTCGCGATTCTCTACTTGCCGTCTTATTAGCGGGCATCTAGGTGAGTAGTATGTTTAGACGTTGTGCTCATAACGAGGGTGTTTAGGCTACGAAGCAGTAAGATTCTGTTATCAGGTTCCCTGCCAGCTGACCAATTCATGACGTAATTTTCTGCGTGACATCTGATGGTTGAAGAGCGCCTTCCCCCGTCGTCGTCTTGGCGAGGATGCATAGAAGACGCCCTGAAGTTTTCATCCCGCGACAATACCTCTAAGCCAGAATGGTTTTGCCTACAAAGACAAGGGAGACTGGAATGGCCATTTCTGACTTATTAGTCGTCGTCAACCAGTCATGACCGACCCCAAAGTGTGGAACACCCGGAGCTCGAGAGATAGAGAAAGCCCTAAGGCACAACGGGACGAGTGAGTTCCCTAGAAACGATCGGTGAGCGCCCTCTCTGCCGTCTTCTATCCCAGTTCTGTCGAGATTCTGGACGCCAGAGGACGGCGCAATACCGCCATTAGGTCTGTTTTCACGGCATCGAAGTTGCAGCGTACCTCATCCGACAACAGTAGCGGCTAGCAACCGGGGCAATTCACAGCTGCCTTCCTGGGATTGTCCACTGCCCAAGCAAGGCACGGTAGATAATGCCAGCGGCGTAGGGGAAAAAGGCTCGCTCTCCTTGCCTCCACAGCACCACTGTACGTACGAAGTGTCCGCGTCTGGCCCGACATCGTTTTGGTTCCACGCAACGAGTGTAGATGTTGATGTTAACGGAGACGGGCATATCAGTACACAGTGAAAAAGCGAGTTCCGGGATGCCGAATGAATTATTTGGTCTGTCAGACGTTTCGCATCCACACCCGAGACAGCAAAATGTGCAGGTAGCGGACGTGCAAAGTTTGTAGTCTGCGCTCATATAGTAGTGGACGTAAAGGAATCGCCGAGATCACAGACTTGTTTGACCTAAGTTCCGAACGTAAGGACCCATTCGCCTGCGGAGACTGGTTCAGTGTGGAGATTTTGATTGAATCAATGGCTATTCCTAAGTCATTGTCGGTTTTCCAGTAGTTTAAGTGATTTTCATTTCAATAATTTCTCGTTTTAATGGCGGAGGGGAGGTCCCGACAGCGACTGATCGGAGTCACCGGAAGTAGATTGCAGAGGGGTGTGTTCGCCGATCAGCTTAGGGCGCCCTGCGGCTCAGTCTGGCGTCCACAACTGCACAAATGTAGTCACAAGCGATATATGGAGAAGAGGGCTACCGGCAAAGACAGGGGAGACGTGCGGGCATTTTCGCCTGCTAAAATTTCCTAACTGCATACTGGGATCATGAAATCCAGGTTTGCATTCCGGCTCATTCACACCTGACTTTGGATATGGCTAGCTGACGACGGCTAAGAAGCCAGAAGGCGTCTATACAGTCCCCTGTCATCGTTGGTGCTCCTTTGCAACAATGTCCGAAAGATGTCCCGCAGGATTGCGCTATTTCCTAACGCGGTGAGGATTCCGCCACCTGGTAAGTCTCAGTACGACGTCTAGTCCCCGCCAGCACATCTAGCACGCTCAAAACTAGACGGATAATCTACCACCCTACTGCACCCGCCCTCACCGTTCGTCATTGTGGGCTTATCTTGGCAACTGAACAGGATGCGCGAGGAGAGAGAGACCAGGTCCAGTGCTACTCAAGATTCAGTTGCTATCCTCCGATCCCAGCATAAATCTCTCCCAGATAGTAGAGTATGACGAACGAACTGCCACAGGACCCCGGAGCGTCTGAGTCAGACCGGGCTGTGATATCTGACAAAAACACACGAAACTAACCATTTCGCGAAATGTTTTTCTGCTTATTATAACACCACTATAGGGCAGTCATTCCCTCTCAAACTGTCCGCCAGAGTGTTAGATAGGCTATCCAGTTGCCATTATGTACCTCTTGGCTTTATGGCTCGCACCACTAGTAACTCCTTCCCCGAATATTCTGCGATGATCCGTTTCAGACAACGATAGTCAAACACCTCCAGTTTTCGCGCATTTTCCATGCACACAACCCGACCTTTGACAGTTCGACAGTCGCGAACTCTGCTTTCCATCGTGTGCCCTACGAACTGGTGGAGGCAGGGCGCTGAGTTGCGCGCGAATTAGTTTGTAATTATAACAGAGGTGCGCACCATCTGTCACGCTCTCCCTCCTCATGCGCCGAGTGACAAGACAGAGTCAGGACAAGACAAAGTCAGGCTTGCGCTCAGTGGCTGACAGAGCTAGACAGTTCGTCTACGCGCGCCACACACGATCCGGCCCCCCCACAGTGCGCCAGGTTTTCACGGGGAGGGGTCCCTGAGATGCCATCTTAGCAGAAATGCTATACAGGTCAGACTCAGAAAGAACCATTGACCTGGTTCACTATCTTGATGGGTCGGCTTACCCAATCAGTTGGCAACCTTCCGAGCCAATGCCTTTAGTGCGTCGTGATAGGTTTAAGCGCGTCAGTTGTTTATAGTAATGGATGCGCTGCAGTGTCTTGAGAGTGTAATCCGCGGTTTCAAACCTCTCTCTCTTTCTCTGGGCGCGACGTGGCGAGAAGCCGATGCCCATGGGTGCCAACACACCCCGCGAGTAGTATATGCTACGGAGTGTGGCTCGTTGTGGGGGCGAGACCGATATTCACAACCCCCCTGGTTGGTTGGCCAGGCGGATGTCTTTGCACCAGTTCGATTTGACCAGAGAGAGAGGGAGAGCGCGCGCGGGGTAGTTTGCTCTAAGCGACTGTTCTTTTTTTAGAGACCAGAAGATCTGAAGAGTTACAAGTGTGAAAACCTGGCAAATACCGTATTGCAGCCTGTGAAACTAGAAGCAACAACGGGAAATGGAACCCGCACCTCCAGATTCCACTCAAAAGCCTCGTGGCATTGTTTCCGAGACCGGCTAGTCATCCAGCATTCGGTTAAGAACCCTCCAGTATGAAATAACTGCTTCGCAGCCCGATGACTGTCCTTAACTTTGTTTCGCCCTGCTCGAACTGATAGTCGACGTCATTATCATCTAGTTAAACATTCTCCAACATGCCGGGTATGCTCATTTTCTCCCCCTTGAGACCTTTAGGACGTGGATCGCCGAATTTTTCCTAAGAGCAAAATGTTTTGCCACTCTTTTGTAGATTTAGACCTTTACCGTCATATAAAAATGCGAAAAATATGTCTCGTTCGGTGGACAAAAGAGAGGGGGAGAGGAGGGGAAAAGGAGAGACGTGGCATTGAACAGACGACGGGCCAAGGGGTTGTGAGGAAGTAGGTCCTAGCTCTTGGCAGTTTTGTTGAGGGAGACTTCGGGAGACGTCTCTGTGCCCTGATGGTAGCCATCAGGCCGACGAAACTTGGCATAGAGTTTGGCACAACCTCGACCACTCAGGCGGTTGGAGCAGAGCTCGATCAGTCGCTCCGTCGCGTAGGCGAGCACCGCGTGGACGCAAGCCATGAGGAGGAGGATGAAGGAGAAGGAGAGTGACTTTGGCGGATGGTCGTTCAGGCCGTGAAGGGGCAAAAACTGAAAGACATCACAGAATTAACGAAGCTGATCATCTAAGCAGTATTAGATGACGGCCATTTGTAATCGAGAAGTACTGTCGACAGTCTGGGCAAATAAGAGCGCACACCTAAGCAGGTGTTCGAGCTAAAGACTACTCGTTCAACGGGGGGGGGAGATGTATTGGTCACTCGGTCAAAATACGTACAGTGACTACAGCCTCTTGCCTCAATATGTCCACGGTAAGGTTTTAAATGTGTCCTAAGCAGCTGTACTCCTCCAATGCTACTGAGGGACGTCGAGAAGACCTCAGAAAGACGTGGCTGGAATCGTTGCATGTCTTTGCGGCACATACAGTAGGTGGGCTAACTCATGAAATCTCAGCAGACATTCCGAAATGCGTTTTCGTTTCGAAAAGATTAATTAAATAGGGTTGTAAAACTCGTCAACCTGCAACATAATTCTATAATATTTCAGTTACCTCA